AAGAAGAGGAGTCAGAAGGCGAAGCTGAGGAGTCTGAAACGGAAGAGGAAGAAGAAGAAGAAGAGTAACATTTGCCACTCAAATTACCTCGTCACTTTAACACTTTCCAACCACTCACACTCATTGTGTTCACTTTCATTGAATATTTTTTCACCGTTTTCAGTTGCTACAGTACGTTTGTTGCATTACATTACAGTCTTGGATTCTCGACACACGCACACACACACCCAACCACTTCTTGCTTTGGCTTTTTCGAACCAGCTAAAAACCACCATTCACCATTACGAAAAAACATTTTAATAAAAAGCACCTTTGAACATGATTAGAGTGGCTTTTTAAATGGCACCGCTTTCCGGTGGCTCGCCACCAGGGCGCATGGCGGTCGACACTCGGCTCGGTGTGTTGTGTTGTCGGCGGGCAACATCTGTGATGAGTAGAGCAGCTCAGTGAGGAGAAGAAGAACTGCATCTCTCCACTTGAATCTCTGCGTGTGTTTGGAACCACCACAGCCCGATCAGCAGCACAGAGTCGCCGACGCCACAGAGGCAGCAGCAGCCGAAGCACTACCTTTGCTTCGCTCGTCAGCAGAGTGTGTGTTTACTGCTTGGCCGCACTGTGTGACTGAGGCTCTCCCTCTCTCTCTACTTAGAAATACAGTAGTGCCGGTGCTTAAAGTAGAAGAAGAAGAAGAAGAAATCGTTTGTGCTAGTGGTTGTGGTGGTGATCTTCTAATCTGTGATTCATTCATTCATTCACTGCTGAAAGAGAAAGAGTGAGAAGAGAGACGCGGTGTTTTTGACAGCGGCGGCGCCTGTGCAGAGTGAAGTGATTCAGTGATTTGTGGGTGCCGATCATCATCATCTTCATCGAAGTGTGCTCATCATCGGCTGCTGTTGTGATGATCTTCTCCTCACCCTTCTCCTGCTCATCAGCTGGGGTTGCCTAACCAGATGATGCAGCAGCAGCAGCAGCATCCATCGCCACCGCCCTTATCAGCAAGCAAGCCATGGCTGATAAAGAAGCCGCCGCGGCCGTCACTCTGAAGGACCGCTTCGAAAAGCTAGAGAAGCTCTTCACCATTCGACCCACGCTGCTGGAGGATAAATCTATCAGCTGTGAACTACTCATCGACCTACTGATTGCCGTCTACACCGACATTCAACGGTAAGTAAAGTCCTTTTCCTTTTCCTTCTCCAATCATCATCAAGACAAAACCCAACTTGCCCTCACTACTCTATGCTCACACCTCTCAACGTAAACCTTTTTCGTATCTCCTCCACACCTGCAGAAATACCCGAAACAATCGAGATAAGAACTCATCTACCTTTAAATTTGTTGAATTTGTAAAGCCGCTAGTGGAGCGTGTCAATCAGCTGCAGCTAAAGTCAAATGATTTCGAGCAGCTAAAGATAATTGGCAAAGGCGCCTTTGGTCAGGTTTCACTGGTAAAAGTAAGTAAACTTCTTCTTCTTTTTCTGTTTGTTTACGCGACAATGCATGCTAATCAGCCACTCTAATTACCACCAATTAGTGCAAGGAAAGTCAGCACATCTTCGCGATGAAGGTGCTGAACAAGCTGGAGATGGCGAAGCGGGCGGAGAAGGCCTGCTACCGCGAGGAGCGGGACATTCTGCTGCACGGCTCGAAGGAGTGGTTCACCCGACTGCACTACTCATTCCAGGACGCGGACAATCTCTACCTGGTGATGGACTACTACATTGGGGGCGACTTTCTGACGCTGCTCTCCAAGTACGACGACACACTGCCCGAAGACATGTGCCGCTTCTACGCGGCGCAGATGATACTCGGTACGAAGAAGAGGAAGAGAAGGAGGAGGAAACTGTTTCAAAAATTCTGCTGAAAACTAACCCATTTTTTGCATTCATTTCCTCAGCCATCTCCGCACTGCACGACATGGGCTTCATTCACCGCGACATCAAGCCGCATAATATTCTCATCGACTCCTCTGGCCACATTCGACTGGCTGATTTTGGCTCCTGTGTCAAGGTACGTGATTGAGATATGGTGGTTGTGATGGTGATGGAGCCGGGAGCCGGTGATGGCGTAACGTGATACACCGACACACCAGCAAATTTAATTAATTGCTTTTCTCTCTCGCTCTCATTTGCCCCACATTATTATTATTACCAGGCCAGCACAGTGAAATCTGACACCTCGACGCCAGTAGGAACTCCCGATTATATTTCCCCTGAAATCCTAACCGTCATCGAGGGCAAACCTAGTCACGGTAATTGCTGGTGATTTATTGCACTGCACAAAGTGCTTTGTTTTCATTGTTTTTGTTGTTCTTGTTCCTCTGCTCACAGATATCCCCTACTCCTACGAAACTGACTGGTGGTCGCTGGGCATCGTCATCTTCGAGTCGTTCTACGGAGAGACGCCCTTCTACGCCGAGTCACTGGTGGAGACGTACTACAAAATTATGAACCATTACAAATTTCACTTTAAGGTAAGTGCACTTTTGGCAGCTCCTACTAATGACCTGTTTAATGTTTTTTGTTTTGCTGTTTCTATAATTCTGTTGCTGCTTTTCCTCCCTCTCTTTCCGCTACAGTTTCCTGTGAACGCCCAAGTGACGGACGAGGCCAAGGACCTAATATCGAACCTGATCACCGACCGCAGCTCGCGCTACAAGACCATCGACCAGTTCCGGAGTCATCCCTGGTTCACCGGCATCGACTGGGAGCAGGTGCGCTACCAGGAGCCACCCTATCGGCCCGCCTTCACCGGCCCCGAGGACACCTCCAACTTTGACACCTCGGACATCAAGCCGATCAACAACAATCCCATCGCCGCCATTGCCGGCAAGCAGGACGCCAATTTGGAGCTGTCCTTTGTCGGCTTCACCGCCACCTTCACCAGCGAGGCGGCCACCGACGAGGACAAGTCGCTGCAGTCGGCCATTCTGCAGAGTCTAAAGCTGGACGATAATGCCGAGAACTGCAGTGTCTCCTCAGCAACAGCGGTGGCGGCAGCCAAAGCGCCGGCTGAGCCTTCGCCTTCAGCAGCTAAAGCCCTAGCTGAAAGCTCGCCACCCTCATCGCCTGCCCCGTCATCACCGGTGCCCTCACCAGCACCCTCACCGCTGATGGACGCCGACACGAAGGCGCAGATCAGCCTGCTGGAGAGCCGGCTGAAGGCTGCCACGCAGGAGTGGAGCGAAATGTCGGTGCTGCTGACGGAAATTAAGAAGGAGAAGAACACCCTGTCGGATAAGCTGCGCGTCAAGGAGGAGGAGCTGGACGAGCAGATTGAGAAGAACTCGCAGCTGCGGGTGCAGATACGGAGTTGCGAGAAGACGAAGCGGGGCCACCTGGAGGAGATTGCCAACCTGCAGACGGAGGTGAACACGATGAAGATCGGCAGAAAGCAAGGTACGCAAGGAGGGGGTGGTGATCTGATGTTTTTGCGGTGCCTAATTGACGTCTGCTTTTCTAAATGTCCTTAGATCAAAGCAGCCTGAAGGAGCTGCAGGACAAGCTGGAGCTGCTGGAGCGGCAGCTGCAGGTGGACACCGAGTCGAGTAAGATGCTGAGCAATGAGAAGACGCTCTTCCTCAAGCGGGTGGCCGACCTGGAGGCGCAGGTGCTGACGCTGGAGGAGGAGAACGAGGGGCTGAAGGGCGAGTGCGCCCAGGCGAGGCAGTGGGCCCAGCGGCTGACCGGCCAGGTGCAGGCCATTGGCGAGCAGAGCGTCCAGTGCGAGGGCGAGCTGAAGGACCTGGCGGCGATCATCACCGAGGAGCAGCAGCACCGCACGCAGATGGAGCAGATGGTGGAGGCGCTGGAGTTCAGTGTTAAGAGGTACAGGAGGTACAACGAGCAAGGAGTACAGACTAATACTAATACTGATATTGCTACCAATAGCAGCAACGGCGGCAGTGGCGGAAGTACTAACAACAACAGCGGCGAAAATGTCATTGCCAACAGTGCTCAGGAGCTGTCGTCGGCAACGGGAACACTGTCGAAGAATGATTCAGGTGCTGCAGGAGGTGGCACTGGCACCATCAACCCCAACCACAACAACCCCGCCAGCTGGCAGGAGCGACGGTCGGTGCGGGAGGACAAGCAGAAGCTGCACATGCTGCAGGTGCAGGTGAACATCGAGGTGGCGGAGAAGCAGAAGATTCAGTCGGAGCTGACGAAGCTGCAGCAGGACTTTGACAGCCTTCTCTTTCAGCTGAATGAGTCCAAGGGAGAGGTGGCACGGCTGAAGAAGCAGCAGCAGCAGGCCAAGACGTCGGGCAGCAACCTGGCGCTCTCCACCGGCGGCGACACCTCAGTGGGCGGTGTAAGGAGTAGTGACCACAATGAAAGCGACTCTGACCAGTACCGCGGCAACTCGCTGCTCAATGAGTACCTGATGCTTGAGAAGAGCGGGGGCGGAGGTGGCGGCAGCCGAAGCAGCAGTGCCCTCCTCCAGCAGCACTCATCGGCGCTCAGCAATCACAGCAATTATGGCAGCAACAGCAAGCGACAAAGTCTGATTGGTGGAGGTGGTGGTGCCCACCAGCAGCAGCACTACGAGCTGAGCACCGCCACCACCGGCAGCACCAGCCAGGACAACTTTGACTACCACAACAAGTTCGGCCACTCCTTCATCATTCGGACCTTTATCACGCCGCTCAAGTGCTACATCTGCACCTCGCTGATGATCGGTCTGGTGCGCCAGGGCTACGTGTGCGAGGTGTGCGGCTACGCCTGCCACGTCGGTTGCGTCGACCTCGGCTCGCCCTGTCCCTTTGACGAGTCGAAGCAGCGCCCGGTGGGCATCGACCCGCAGAAGGGCGTCGGCACCGCCTACGAGGGCTACGTGAAGATTCCCAAGCCGAAGGGAGGCGTGCGCAAGGGATGGGTGCGCATGTACGTGGTGGTGTGTGACTTTAAGCTCTTCCTCTACGACATTATGAACGCGGGCGAGGCGCAGAGCGCCGGCCTGAACTACTCGGCGCTGCCCAACATTGACCCGCTCATCAATCCGCCCTCCATTTCTGCGAACACCATCATCGATATGAGGTGGGTGCTTTTAGGGTTTAAGAATTGTTGTAACCAATTTTTCCCCTCCCCCAATTTCAGAGACGAGCACTTCAGCGTGAGCGACGTGACGGAGAGCGACGTGATTCACGCCTCGCCGAAGGACATACCCTGCATCTTTCGCATCACTACCTCAATGATTGGCGGCCCGGAGGGCGACGGGCGGCAGATCTTCACGCAGCTGATGCTGGTCGACAAGGAGAGCGAGAAGCGGAAGTGGATTGACGCACTGCAGGAGCTGCACCGCATCATTCGCCGCAACAAGATACCTCACCGAAATGTAAGTTAACTTAAACCTTAAAACTCATTTTGAACCTTGTGTCACTTACCGCTTTTCCTCTTCACCAGATTCTTCGCAACTACCACCTGCTGAACATGGTGCAGATGAACGCCCTGCGGCACATCAACAACGTCTACTGCTGCACGCTGATTGACGAAACGCGCCTGCTGATTGGCTGCGATGACAGCATGATCTGCTGCGACCTGGACATTCACGCCTACCACCGCCTGAGCAGCTCGAAGCGCTTCTACGCCATCGTCTACGTCCAGTCGGAGCAGCTCATTGTGGCGCTGAGCGGGAAGCAGCGCGCCATCAAGCTGATTCCCATTCGCGCCCTCGACAATGAGAACATCGAGTGGATCAAGATTGCCGAGTCGAAGAATGCCACCACCTTCACCGTCGCCTACGACTCCGGCGTCGCCTACGTCGCCGTGGCCGTCCGCAAGACGCTGCACATTTTTGAGATTACGCGGAAGAAGGCACGCTACGCGCCGCACCGCGAGATTCAGATGCCGGTGAACATTCAGACGCTGAACAGCTGCAGGGGTAATCTGATTGCCGTCGGCACCAGCTCCAACTTTATCGTCTACCACGTGAACCGGAGCGAGACGCCGCTCTGTAAGTTTTCTGCTTACTTTTGTGTAAAAGTGACTTTATATCTCATCATTTATAAATCTCCTCCCCCACCCTGCAGACTTGGTCAATCAAGAGTCGCCTGATCTGATTTACCTCATTCAGAACACCATCGACCCGCTGCTCTGTGTGCCAATCGACGACAATGAGTGGCTGCTCATCTTTGCGCGTAAGTTTGATTGGCTGTTTATTTGTTTGCAGAAGTTTAATCTAGTTTTTTGTTTATCTTCTTTTCAGATTACGGTGTCTATGTGGACAATCACGGCAAGCGAACACGCAGCGTGGAGCTGCAGTACCCTTCGCAGCCGTGCTACGCCTCGGTGCTGCGTTCCTCCAGCCACAATAGTGCCACTACCACCACCACCTACCTGTTGATCTTCTCGCTGACACATATCGACGTCTTCAATGTGGAGCAAACCAAGTGGGTGCAGACCATCAACCTGAAGGCGACCAAGCCGCTGCAGACCTTTGGAGACAAGTGAGTGCTCTCTGCCGTATTAATCATTTTTCACTGACCATCTGATTCACCTTTTGCAGCATTTTATTCTGCGTCACCGATGCCCTAGACATGCCTAACATTTTGCAGATTGTGGTGGATAGTGATAGCAAGATTAAAGTTCGCGGTAAGCTTGTGCTGGTGTTGCTCTTCAGCAAACTGCGCTGACTAACCGTCTGTTCACATTTGCACTTTCAGGCGACAACATTAAGGCATTTACAATTAAGAATTTGAATCAGAAGAACGTTAGCTCGCAGGTCAACGAGTTGAAAAAGGTAAGCCTTGATTGGGGAAAGGGAATAAGTGCTTTTAAAAATATTGACAATTTTTTTACTTAACAAATACAGAATACAAAGATTCAAATCAGCGCGCCCACTGACTTCTCTCACATTTCTCACCTGGGCCCCGGTGTGGGACCATTTTCCGCCAATTTAATTGACTGTAAGTGCTGAAGTGCTCTTCTAAAATTCATTGTGACCTTACCTTCTTTTCCTTCAGTGAACAATCTAAAGGACACCATGCAGCGTCCTCCCTCGAAGGAATCGATGACCAAGAGTCACTCGTCGCTGCACTACAGCAAAAACTAACCACGTACGACAATCAGCATTTAGCAGCAGCAGTGTGGCTTGTTGACCTTTACCCTCATCCATTCTGTGTATTCCTCTCTCTCACTTTCTCTTTGTACCCTTGGTTAAAGTGCTGTGCTTTGTTTTGTAACCCTCTTTTTCCTTTACTTACCTTCCTCTTGCCCTTCCTTTACCTTTTACCTTCCTTTTACCGCCTCAAGCCAAACTGTTCTTATTTTATTTTTATTTATTTTTTACGTTTTGATACGCCTTTCTAGTCAGCACATGTTTTACAGCGGCGTTCAACACTCACAATCACACTTACAATCACACACACACACTCTTGCCTCTAATTATTATTATGATTTTTACCAAAGTTTACCTGATGTGGACTGAAGCTACTGTGCTTTTAATGTCAGAATAAATAATAAGCCGAGTAAAGTACATTATCAGCTGGTGATGGTGGAGATGGTGATCAAGTTGTTTTACAGAGCTTGTCATCTTTTGTGGTGAGGAGTTGTGTTTGCTGTTATTGTTTCTTTAGAGTCTGTCAAGAGACCGTGTTTTGCTATAGTGGGTGATGATCACAATTGGTCTGCGTTAATTCTCTCAATGTCAGTGATTTGGTGCTGTTCNAAGTTGTTTTACAGAGCTTGTCATCTTTTGTGGTGAGGAGTTGTGTTTGCTGTTATTGTTTCTTTAGAGTCTGTCAAGAGACCGTGTTTTGCTATAGTGGGTGATGATCACAATTGGTCTGCGTTAATTCTCTCAATGTCAGTGATTTGGTGCTGTTCGGATCATGTCACCTGGTAATTTTACATATTGCCTGAATTGTTGCCCGAGCTGTTGCTGCCGTCATTGGCAGCGGCTGCAGCAGCGTTATTCGCTTCGTTCGCCTGCTGGTTCTGCTGCTGCTGTTGATGTTGCTGATTTTGCTGTTGCATCTGCTGCATCTGCTCTCGCAGTATATGCTGGCGAGCCCTGAACAGGGACCGCATCAGCGTGGGATCGTCGCGCATCATTCGCAGGAATCGAGGCTCGGCCAGGCCGTTGTTGCCGTTGTTGGCCCGATAAGCTTGAATCTCCTGCAGAATCTGGCGAATTTCATTGTAGCGGTCCCGTTGCTGTCGAAGTAACTGTTGATCGTCCAAGTCATCCTCTTCCTTGGCGTTCGTCTTCAGTAGACCTGGCATGATGATAATCGGGGGACTTGTTTACACGCTGGAGGATTTGTCAAAACTGACAACTCTCTGGTGAGTGCTTCGGTAGTGTACGATCTCTCCGGTAAGTCGAACTGCTGAACTGAAAAAGACCTTTAGTAGAAGATACTGGTGGACACAAAAGAGGTGACCGAGACTGGTGTGTGTGTGTTTCTCGGGAACTCTAATGATCACCGCTAGATCGGGATACAAAGTGGATGAATCCTGGTGATGGAGGTGGATGTTCTACAAAAAACAACAACTCAGAACGGGTAAACCTAGCGCCCCCTGACGGTTTGGTTAGCACGGGTAGCAAAAAAAATCGGCGCTCTTTTCCAACTTCAACAGTTTGTACAAGCGCTGCTTTTACTAAAGTTTAGGTTTTCATTAGAAAATGTCNGAACGGGTAAACCTAGCGCCCCCTGACGGTTTGGTTAGCACGGGTAGCAAAAAAATCGGCGCTCTTTTCCAACTTCAACAGTTTGTACAAGCGCTGCTTTTACTAAAGGTTAGGTTTTCATTAGAAAATGTTGCCATTTAGTTTGACCACTGATTCGTTGGCCTAAAGATAAATTGTAGCGCTGAAGCAAATTGATGAGCAGGCACTGTCATGTCAGGGTCAGGGCAACCTTTTCGCTTCACCAGAACTAGTGGCAAGCATCACTCGTGTTCTTAGCTCATTTGCTAAACTCGAAAACATCTCCCTCTTCCAAAACCCTTTCTTCTAAAATGGTCTTCTACCATTGTGAGTACCAGCTGTTGTTGACTCCCTGAGCTGACTAGTAAACTCTTTCTGATTTGCCATCGTTTTACAGGTTTCTCAATGGATTGTCATCAGAATGCGGCCAGAACTAAATGGCTGGCGGGCAAAACCGCCGAAAAAGGCCGTCTCATCAAACTGTTGGCTAACTATTACAGACTGACCAAGACCACCAGCTTTGAAGAGAACCACTCGGTCCACCAGTACGACATTGTCATCAGAGAGCGACCATTGCCAGAAGCCAATAGCAGCAACAGCACCTCAGTGATCAACCAGATGTTTCCGCCCAATGACACCCTCATCGGCGTGCGCCATGCCGTCCAGGACAGACTGAGGAGCTTCTGCGCCTCGAAGCTTACCCAGTTCACCCCATTCCTAGGTCACATCGTCATTGACCTTCTGGTGAAGCTCACAATTGCTCCCACTGGCCAGGTGGTGAACTTTATCGCCCGGGTCAATCTAGTAGAACTGGTTGTCGTGAGGGTGATCATCATTAAACTTGCCAGCCCCAACAAAGCTGACCTCAGCAATCAGCGTGATCTGACCCTTGCCATCCTTGAGAGCATCCTTCGCTTTATCCTGGGCACCAGGAACACCATGACTACTGGCAAGCAGAAAGAGCTTCTGGCTCTTTCCAACTGCATCAACTCTAGATCACCACCTGAGGCTCGATTCACCGTCTTCATCAGTGACCACGTCTCAGCTGTCCACCTGACCAAGTTTGGCCTTGTCGGAAACGCTCAACAGCAACGAGAGCTTTCTTTCCTCCCCTCTTCTAGTCTGCACCTTAGCCGCCTCAAAATCTGGTACAGAGCCGAGCGAAAACTGATGCTGAAAGCGTCGGACACTGCCACCAGCAACCAGAGTGAAAAGGTCGGAGAGGAAGAGGTGGTCAGAGAACCCGATATTCATCATGCCGACACATCAGCTAATCACCTCAACTACAATCCGTTATCTTTTCTCGGACGCGTCCTCTTCTCTCTACGGCGGTACAGCTCACGCTCCCAAAGTAGCCATGGGCAACAGGAGGTGTCGCTGAAGTGGGGCGTCTTCTGCTATGACGACACCGTCTCTCTGGAGGACCTCCGACGGTTTGTGAAGCGGATGACCGACCGGGCGGCCGCCATTGGCTTCTCCCTCCAGCGGCCTGATCCAGTGGCCATTGTGCCAGTGGAGGACGCCCGCAGACTGTTCAACGTCTTCTTCAATCTCAAGGACCGGACAGAGGTTGATTTTGTCTTTGTTGGAATTCCCCGTAAGTGATTCTGCTTCTGCTGATATTTTCAGTGTGTTTACTTCTTCCCTTCTTGCTCTTCATTTTTAGGACACAATGGTGCAATGTGTCGTGCCCGCATGTACAGCCTGACAAAGAGTTACTGCGACAAAATATTTGGCATTGTTTCGCAGTGCTTCAAGTCGGAGTACATCGCCGATCCGCCTGAGGGGTATTTTGAGAGGCTGCTTCTCAAGGAGAGATGAAACAGATGTACATCCTGGAGCCAATTTTTTGGTCAAACCATTGACATCTATTCCCCACCATTCAGTCACCATTCTCTTCAGATCACTCCACTTAACTTCAATTCTTTTTACTCGCTTCCATTACAACTTAAATTATCAATCTGTAACTTATTTGCCGTACCATTTCATGCCCATCAATAAATAATTTGGATGATTTTGAAATTATTTTATTTTTAAGAAGTCGCTTTTTGCAATTTACGTTTCTGTGTTGGTAGATGTCAGGACCGGAGCACTGCCATCAAAAGTTTTGCACGTGAATTTGTTTTTTATTTGTCAACAAAAAGTGGCACTGATTTGTTGCTTCCAGCATGGCTCAAATTCAGTCGTACAGCAATCTCGATCAAGGGCAATTTGATAAACTAGTTTCACAGGTAAGCACTGTCAATTGAATAGTCACACACACAATCATCAAATAATTCTACTCCCCGTAATCAGGATTTTCCCTTCATCATCTCTGACTGCAACTTTGGTAGCTGCCTCCAAAAGTGGAACGCCGAGTACCTGTCCAGTAAGCTAAATGGTTCATCAGTAAAGGTGCACGTCTCTGAGGAGCCAGTGCTGAACTTTCTGACAAAAAACTTTCGCTATGAGACGCAGAACTTTGGAGAGTTTCTGCAGAAGTGCGCCCACCCCGATGGTGATCAGCAGTACCTGTACCTGCGATCGATTGGTGTCGATAAGCGAGGGCGAGACGTGGCTGACATTCAGAAGCACTTTCCGCAGATTGCCGACGATCTGGTGATGCCCCCGTTCGCCAACTTCTGCACGGACATTGACTGTGAGGAGGAAGGCACCACCAAGTGCACTAAACGGCACCTCTTCTCTAGCGTCTTTCGCATCTCTTCAAAGGAGCTCGTGGTGTGGACGCACTACGACATGGTCGACAACATCCTGCTTCAGGTGAAGGGCGAGAAACGTGTCACGCTGTTTCCCCCTTCCGATGCGCCCTTTCTGTACATTCGCGGCGACAAATCGGAGATTGCCGATCTCGATCAGGAGAACATCGAGGCGGAGTATCCGCTCTTTTCACAGGCCACCCGGCTGGACTGCCACCTCGGCGAGGGTGATGCCATCTTCATACCGGCACTGTGGTTCCACACCACCAAGGCCTTGCAGTTCTCCATTGGCGTCAACTTCTTCTGGAAGGACCGCCAGCTGGCGGCGTTCTACAATCGGACAGACGTGTACGGCAACAAGGACCTGATCCCGGCAGCGGACGCCTACAGCAACGTCGACAAGGCGCTGAAGCACCTGTCCAAGCTGCCGCCAAAGTACCGGCAGTTTTACCTTCACATGATCATTGCCAGACTGAATAAAGAGCTTACAGAATAAGTTGTTTGTTTTTTGGAACAACAGGGTTGAAATGCAAGAATTGGGCCAAAATTTGCCAAAATTTGGCCGCCAAATGAAAGTAATCTGCATCACTGAGTCGATGAATAGGCTCGAGCCGGTGCAGCTGCCGCTGCTGCTGCAGTGCCGCTGCCGTCGCTTTATTGTTTTTGTTGTGAATGTGGCTGCTTTTGCAGTTCCCTAATTTTGAAAGCATCATCTGATTGATTGATTTCACCTTCAAACCATCTACCTTCTATCTTCAACATGGAACTGCAAAGTGAAAGCGTCAGCCTGTTCTCACATCTGAAGACGTTTATGGAATTTGTCTGCGAGGGAAAGGCGATTCCAGTCGACGATGTGATGGTCGCCTCGATGACACTGCTCAAAGAGTGTCCATCTTCGCGCTTGGCAGTGCTGAAGTTCTACAGAAAACTTCTCTTTGAGTACTGCCTCCTGTACAGTCAAAATCACGGGAAAAATTCCTTGGCTGTGGTGGACATTATTCCTGAATACCTGCCGAGGTTCGTCCAGGCGTTGATTGAAGCAAATGACGCCGTCAAAATTAAGGTAAAGGAGGAAAAAGACACAACTGAAGAAGATAAAAAGATTGATGAAGATGGCCCGTCAAGTCCCAGTAGAGAGGTCGAAGAGATGGACCTTGAGGCAGGCGAACTTCCAGGCAATCAAAAGGAAAGCGACATTTCGATTATCATCGGCGCACTTGACATGCACATAAGCACTCTGACGGACATCTTTGTGGAGCTACAAGAAGCCAATGAGAATCCTGAACTAACTGCAAGCATATCAGACTGGGCTCTAGAGTTAGTCTCCGAAATGAGCCGAACGTATAACATCTACTTTGCCAATCAAAATGATCGCCCAATCAACTCAACCAAATCAGATCACCTCATTCTAATGACTGCCCTGGGATTCTGGTTGCAGTGTCAGGCCATGCAAATGCTTCTTCGAGTCATCCTAACCAGTGCCTGTACCAACAAAATCGACGCCAAAACACTGGTCGATCGTCTCATCAAGTACTCGCCCTTTTCTGACTGGGTTCTCGCTCATCTGTGCACCAACATGTCACACAGTTTTGATTTGACAAAGTACATCGAAGAACTGATCATTGATTCTTCCTCCTTTTCGACCACATTCATCCTCTCGTATGTCTCGGAGCACAATCCCCAGGCCATTGTCAACTGTTCCAAGTCAAACTTGCCCTTGCTTTTAAAGCTGTGCACCAACTCAAAGCCGCTTTTAGATATGCTGGCGTATGATGTCGTTAAGAAAGGTAAAGTAGCCAGGTGGTTGTCCATTTCCAAAAAAACTTGAACTGTAGATCTAATTCTTTTCTTTTTACTTGCTACAGTGGACATAGAAAGTCTCAACAAACTGGCCGAATCTCATACTTCCAATGAAATTGACGACTACATCATCTACTGCGTTCTCAATGCTCCAAATGCTTTCGACTTTCTCAAACTATCATTTGATCTGGTGGTCCATCCACAGCGAAGCGATACACTATGCAATCGAATTCTTAACATTATGAACCGGGTGACCAGGCAAATTCACGCCTACGTCTACGAGGCTAAAAATGCCGCCTTTGACGATACATTTCCCATCATTTCACTGCTTCGAAACAACGTACAGCAACTGATTGCCCACCATTCAATAGCACGAAACACCTCGCTGAAGAAACTCCAGCTTCGTCTGCTGAACTTGATCTGCATCTGCTACGGCAGCGAGTTCATCACCGAGGTGTTCCACAATCTAATGAACTTCTCCACGTACGAGATCAGTCTGCTTAACTTTGAAGACGTCAAGCTGAACCCTCTTCTGGCACCACTCTTCAACTCACTGCGCCTTCACTTTGGCTTCAACACGGTGCAAAACTGCATCAAGGACACGCTGAAGCTGTACTTTCCCAAGCGGCTCATCTACTGGGCGTTCATGAGCGAGTTCATTGAGACGCACGCCATCACGCTGGACACCGCCGATCTGATTGCCTTCCTTCGCCAAAAGTCCTTTGACCGCTACGAGAGCACCTTTCGGAAGTACTTTATTCTGAAGATTCTCAGCAAGCTCTTTGAGAGCAATCAGAAGCTGTTCAACCGGCACCAGTACTCGCTGTGCATCAGCCTGGTGGACACCTTCTTCGAGTTGATGGCCGAGGCGAGTGACACGCGGTACCTGACGGTGGTGGTGCGCTCCATCGTCGTCTGCCAGCGGCTGCTCTCCTACCTGAGCGTCGCCCTGCCCGACAATGAGTACATCATCTCGCGGTACCTGCTGGACTTTATTCAGGCGAAGAGTGAGCTTTTCCAGGACGAGTACGCCGTCAGCAATGGCCTCTCCAGTGGCTACGAGAAGGTGCTGCTCGATGAGAACTTTCTCAAGTACGGCCACGTGCACAAGGTGAAGAAGATCAGGCTGCTGCCCTTCTGCAAGGCCAACCGGAGACGGGAAACGGTGGTGAACCGGTGCGCCGGCCTGAACAAGCAGCTGCTGATTGACCTGCTGCAGAGCTGCGTCAGGAACCGGGACATGTTCTCCAGGAACTTCGTCAGCTCAATGTCCAGCGAGCTGCTGCTCAATGACGCCCCGTGGATGCTCGACGAGGACCCGAAGGACGGCCAGATTCAGCACCTGAGGGTAAGCGTGTGTGGAAACTCTTTCCTCTCTTTCTCTTTACTATGACTAACAGGTTGAAATTGCTGCTTTTCAGATGACATTTGAAAAGGATCTTCTCATATCACGGCTGTTTGATGAGAAGCCCGTTCTCTGGAACATTTGCGAAATCATCAGCAAGGGCCAGTACCTGAAGCACTGTCTGGTGATCATCAGGTCCCTGATCAATGTGCAGCGGGCCAATCTCGCATCTTCGCTGGCGACGGCCGAGTTTAGAGAGCAAAACATTCAACACGTTCAAAGGTATGTGCCTTGTGTACTACTCTATTTGTTTTTATTAAAAGTATTAATTCATCGCCATCCAGGATCATCACATTAATCTCCAACAATGAGATCTTGCCACAAAAACCCTTTGCCTACACGTCGGAGGTGGCTCGACTGATGAAAAACTGGGAAATGTCCTATGTGCTGCACGACATTGCCAAGTACATTCGAGACAGCACTCAGTATGGCGGTAATTCACTGATCATTAAGCAGTACCTGGAGCGGCTCCGGCTGATCATGGCACACCATCTTCCGAATGAGGTCTTCATCAAGATATTCAAGTGCCTCTAACAGAAAATGGTACGGCTAGAACTAGTGGGAACTAAAAGAAACTGTACATAAAACACTCAAATAAGAGAAATCAAAGCAAAAAAAGAGAAAAAAATCATGCACGTGCAAAAGTGTTGTGTTGAGTAGGTGTGCGCGCTAGAAGGAGACGATAAGACGATGGTAGAAGACAGTCACTACTCTTTCCTAAGATGCACGGTACTGCTTCTCCTTGTCAGTCAGCGGCACGTACATGACGCCCATCACCTTCTGCCGGACAATCGTCCCGTCGACCGTCTTGTCAATCTGCTCCAGGTTCTGCTCGCCATTTCGTTCGCCGATGGGAATAATCAGTCGGCCGCCAGGCTTTAGCTGCTCTACAAGCTAACAGAGGTTTAAGGAGTTAGAAATGTGATGATGATGATGATTTTATTCTCCTATCCTATCCTATTCTACTCTGATCAAGATCTCTAAGATGAGATTACCGCATTAGGAAGCGTCGGTGCCGCCGCACCGACGTGAATGGCATTGTAGGGGGCGTGCTCGGGACAGCCCTTGCGACCGTCGCCCACCTGCAGGATGATGCGCTTCGACTTGAGCAGGTCAGCATTGCCCGAGGTGATGTTCTCAATGGACTCGTTCAGTAGCTGCGGAAAGTGCTCAATGCCCACGGCGAGGCCAGTCGTTCCCACCTTGACGAATAAGTATAAACAGTAACTACCGAGGCTGTAACAATTGAGTGACTTACCATTAGAGCCATGCAGGCGGTCAGGTAGCCAGATCCTGATCCGACGTCCAGTGCTCGCTCTCCTGGAATGATGATTAAGTAAAGTAAAAGAAGGAGAAGAAAGGTTGTTGAGTTGGCATTTTTTGATGGCGCAAAAAACTCCCTTCTACAGCAACTACCTTCTTTCAGGTGGTCTTTCAGTAGCTCCAAAGCGTAGGCGTGCTAGTTTATGTGTTCCAAAACAGAATCAAAGTTAGTCAGTGCTGGTGTCAGTGATTCCCAGTGATTACCATGTGCGGTGCACTGATGGTGGCACCAAAGCCGATTGCCATGGGTGTGTCGTCGTACTTTTTGTTGTTCGAAACAAAGTTGCCTCGATCTACGCCCAGCATTGCCCTCTCCACGCGAGCATCCGAAATGATGCCATTTTCTAATGTGTTTTACAAACAAAAGAAGGCAAAAGTTGCAAAGTGACAGTCAAACAGTGGCACTGGCTTACTTTTGAGATTGGCAATCAGCTC